CCCCAAAACCCCAAAACCCCAAAACCCCAAAACCCCTTCTTTCATATTAAAATTGAAACAATTAAGGGTATAAGCCAGTATGAATGCTAATTTGTATCAGCAGACTTATTTTCCTTTGTGTTTTGCACAACTCTTATATTGGCTTTACAAAGAGGGCATGTTAGGCCTGCTAATGTCTTCCTAGAAATAAGGTTAATCTTCTAATTAGCTAGTAAAGACGCACTAATTGAGCCCTTAAATATAGACATGACAGTTATGTTATCGTCTAGTCTAACTTACTTAAGTTTGAAGAATTCTTCTAGGCATTCACTGAGAAAGGTATGCTTACAAGCATTGATCTGCCTCATCTGCTTCTCTGGATCAAATTTATCAAGACAGATAGGTCATTCTGATTGATGGTACCTATCTTGGGTTTGACCTAGCTGGTATTCTGAAGTATACTTGTTAAGGTAATACTGCCAACGTTTAGATACAGAGCTTCCTCCTCTCTTCTTCTTAATGATACATTTTATGATTAAGTAGTGAATTATTAAAAGAGCACAGCAGGAGCATATAACACATAGGACGATTATGAAGATCTTGAGTTGATCCATAATTTTATTGCCAGCTCTATCTCCTCCTGTAGGGCTTTTTAGCTCCCTTTGCATGCCAAATGATAGACTTGATCGTCTATAGGTAGAGCATTCAACTTTAGAGCTGTAACCATAAGTGCTTAGAGCAGACTCTACTAATTTTTCCAGTGTTGAAAGTCTTCGAAAAATTATGTTCGAAATGGCCCTGGCTATGAAAAAGTTATATAATGGATATTTAGGTGCTCACCCTCCTTATGGTCAAGATTACTATCTGCAATCACACCAGTGCAGATAAATCTTCTTGACCTTAAATTTATAGTTGCCTCATGTAAGCTGCTTTGTTCGTGAGAAAAAGAAGTCTGACTGGTCTGCCTCAATTCTAAATTAATAGATTTAGTCTTTTGCTAAAATAAAGTGCTACCATTAGTTTTGTCCAAGTCAAGAGTGAGCCTAAATTTGTCTCCAGAAGAAACCACTAGTAGTTTAGGAAGCCCCAAAGAGTTCAGTAGTGACTCATTGCTTTCTTCTGAGAGGTCTTGACTTCCTTGTAAGGGATCGAGCGAAATTTGAGATTCCTAAATATACAATCAGGATATGTAATAACCAGGAGAAATTTAATAGCTAATCAAATTCTTACTTGCTTGTTTGATGATCTTGTCAGAAAAATAGTCATCAGGATGATTATCAAGGTGGAGATCTATACAACAAAGTCAGCAGCTGTCCAGCTTCAAAGTCTAGCTATGATGTTCCCAAAATTTGTTTTCCATTAACCGCACTAATTGGTGAAAACATGATGTGAAAAGTTCAGAATTTTAATGTTTTGCACTAAATATTTTACGAAACTGTGGTCTAAAAGATCTCTCAGAATTATGTCTAAGGATGCTAAGCAGCACTCCTCTTAGTCAATACTAAAATAGTCAAGATTATACTGTTTCCTGACTTGTGTGTACATAAAGCACCCAGAAGCATGCATAAGTCTCTAGTCTGGACTTCTATGTTAGAGAAGTCAGAAAATGGTTCATAAGACCAAACTCACTCAATAGAGAATTCTGGGTTTTGGCAACGAAGTGTAAATACAAATATAAGAAAAGTTAGAGGATGCTATTTTTGAAGATTTTAGTATCTCCTGTTAGAGTTAAGAGCCTTTATGTGAGATTTGATGAATTTCTAAACCTTAAAAGTTATAGGTAAGTTTTGCATCTCCCTGTACAAGCGATAGATTTCTTCAATAATGAAGTTTAGAATGAAGTAAAGATGACTAATGGACATCTTTAAAGAGATAGAGTTCTGATTTTAATTGTAAGGAATTTTTGTACTGAAGCAGCTATTTGCTGAAGGGTTCAGCTTAATAATCAAAATACTCTAAAGTGTAGACATAAATGAGACTTATTGGTATGATAGTAAGACCGTTTTTGGCCATATTCTGTGTTAATTCTCTTCCGAAGAAAACCTTGATTCATCCTTAAAATCTCCAGACTATATGTCTTCCAAGCCAGATAGCTCTGGCTGAAGGATAGTATAACACAGTGAAGTGGTTAGTAGATTAACTTACATGTACGTCCATTTGTAATTAATTTCAAAAATTTAGGTCGATTTAGGGGTTTTGGGGTTTTGGGGTTTTGGGGTTTTGGGG